GTGGAGCTGTGAGCTTGCAGGACCTTCAGGGTGGAGCTGTGAGCTGGCAGGACCTGGCAGGACCTTGCAGGGAGCTCAGGGTGGAGCTGTGAGCTGGCAGGACCTTGCAGGACCTTGCAGGGAGCTCAGGGTGGAGCTGTGGGCGGGCAGAATTCATTCCCGAATTCCGGGGAGCCCTGACACAGAACAGAAGGAGGCTGCTGCCATATCAAAGAGAAGGAAAGCAGCCACAGGCAGCCCTTTTATAAATACATTTAAACTCCTCCTCTGCCAAAACCAGCTTTGATCTCCCAAGGAAAGGGGCCAGGACCCTCCTCTGCCTGCCTGCCTTCCAACTCTCATTCCTTTGCTGAGTGCGTGCTCTCCTCTCCAGGCTCTGAGCTTGGGTTCTTCATCCTCCTTCCTCCCCCTCATCATCATTTCTTCAGGGTTTGGTGCTCCCCAGGTCAGAGCTGGCTCTGGTCTATCCCTTTCCAGCCCAGACACTGAATTTTGGGTGGTCTGGGAGGGCAGAACAGGCTGTAGGTGTTTGGGGGCTGCTGCTGGGCGCCCCCAGCTCTTATCAAAGCCACCAAGGGCCCTGATCCCTCCATAAAATCAGACTCAGGCTCCACCAAGGTGACATTGCTGGTGACAGGATGTGCCCAGGCTGGAAAGCTGTTTGATTTTCCAGCCTGGAAAAAATAAAAAACAAACCCAAGCTGTTTTTCCTCCTTTTATCAGCATCTCTGTGAGAATGACGGGATGGGGAGGTAGGGCTGGGATTTCTCACCAGGTGGGGCAGCTTTGTCCCCTGCTTGTCCCCTCACAGGAGCCAGAGCAGCTCTGGAGCAGCCTGGGATGGTGGAACTTTTTATCAGCATCTCTGGGGGTGAGGTTGTGAGAATGACGGGATGGGGAGGCAGGGCTGGGATTTCTCACCAGGTGGGGCAGCTTTGTCCCCTGCTTGTCCCCTCACAGGAGCCAGAGCAGCTCTGGAGCAGCCTGGGATGGTGGAACTGTGCTCACTGCAACGGGAGCAGCTTTGGGGTCCCTTCCAAGCCAAACTATTCCCTGATTTTGTGATTCCTGAGGAGGCCTGGCCTCCTCCTGCTGCCCAGGGATGGGCACTAGAGCCACCAAGGTTTGGGATTTGCAGCCTGGGAACGCTGGGAGCCAGGGATTTCTGAGGCTGGAGGGAAAAGGAGGGAAAAGGAACTCCAGGCAATTCCCTGAGGAGCCCCAGGAGGTGAGGAAAGGAGAGCTGAGTGTTGATCCCTGCTGGCATCTCTGGAGCAGTGATCACCTGAGCTACCCCTGGCTGTCACCAGGATGGGTTCAGGGACACAGGGAGCCCGGGGACAGCCCCAGAGATGCTGAAGGAAGGGAAAAGCAAAGCTGTTTGGGGCAGAGGAGCAGCACAGGAGCAGCTGCAGGCCCAGCTCTGCTCCCCACAGCTGCACCAAAGTCACTTTTCCCCTCTGCTCTTTGGTTCTCCCGCTGGAAAACGGGCACCAAGCCCCTGGAGAGATCCAAACTCAGCTCAGGACTGCCCACGAGCCCTGTGAGAGGCTGGTGCACACCTCGGGTGATGGAGCCAGCCCTGGGCCTGGCCACAGGCTCACACTGCTCCTGTTCTCCCCTGGCTACCTCAGCACCAAGCCCATGGGGGGGCTGGCAGAGCCTGCTCGACCCTTTTGCCACCCAAGGGCAAAGGAAGAGCTTGAGATGTCTCATTAAAGCAGAATAAGAGGGAAATCACCTCTGGGGTTTGCAGAGGAGATAAGGAGGGGGAGATAAGGAGCCCAGATCCCACAGCAGTGCCCAGGACTTCCTCAGCCCTGCCCCATTTTATCCCCACAGCTCCTGCACGGCTAATTAACGGCTCAGGTCTAATTACCGCCCTCAGTGAGGGCTGTAGGCGTGTGGGAGTGAGGCAGGAGCCCCGGGGTGCTGCTGGGGTGTCTGCAGAGATGAGGAAGAGCCTGGGGAGGGAGGGAGGCGGCTCTGGAGGAGCTTCCAGCATCCTCGGGCAGCCTGGCTGGCACGGCCGGGCCCTCCCCGCCGGGCAGCGCCGGTGCCAGGCACTGCCACCAGGGCTCAGCCCCCTTCAGAGACGAGCCCAGGGGGGCTGGCAGACCCTGCTCGACCCTTTTGCCACCCAAGGGCAAAGGAAGAGCTTGAGATGTCTCATTAAAGCAGAATAAGAGGGAAATCACCTCTGGGGTTTGCAGAGGAGATAAGGAGGGGGAGATAAGGAGCCCAGATCCCACAGCAGTGCCCAGGACTTCCTCAGCCCTGCCCCATTTTATCCCCACAGCTCCTGCACGGCTAATTAACGGCTCAGGTCTAATTACCGCCCTCAGTGAGGGCTGCAGGCGTGTGGGAGTGAGGCAGGAGCCCCGGGGTGCTGCTGGGGTGTCTGCAGAGATGAGGAAGAGCCTGGGGAGGGAGGGAGGCGGCTCTGGAGGAGCTTCCAGCATCCTCGGGCAGCCTGGCTGGCACGGCCGGGCCCTCCCCGCCGGGCAGCGCCGGTGCCAGGCACTGCCACCAGGGCTCAGCCCCCTTCAGAGAGGGCAAACAGAGCCCGAAGGGGAGCTGAGGGCACGGCAAGGGCCGGGCTGCGGCACAGCTGGCAGGAGGCAGCGCGGCATGGCCGGGATTTACCCCGGCTCCCCGAGCCCAGCCCGGCTCCCCGAGCCCAGCCCGGCTCTGCCCGGCTCTCTGAGAGCTCTGCCCGGCTCCCCAGGCTCTGCCCAAGCTCAGCCCAGCTCTGCCCGGCTGCCCAGGCTCTGCCCAAGCTCTGCCCAGTTCCTCAAGCCCAGCCCAGCTCCCCGGGCTCTGCTCAAGCCCTGCCCAAGCTCAGCCCAGCTCTGCCCAGCTCCCCGGGCTCTGCCCAAGCTCAGCCCGGCCTGCCCGAGCACGGCTGCCCTGGCCGGGCTGCTCCCAGCGCCTGCAGCATCCCCGAGCCTGCCCCAGCTTGCTCCGGGCTGTGTTGGCTCAGGGGATGTGCCTGGTTTGGATTTAACTCCTCATCTCCCTGGGCTCTGCCCCAGCTTACTCCGGGCTGTGTTGGCTCAGGGGATATGCCTGGTTTGGATTTAACCCCTCATCTCCCTGGGCCCTGCTCTGGGCTGTGTTTGCACAGGGCATGTGCCTGCTTTGGGTTTAACCCCTCATCTCCCTGGGCCCTGCCCCAGCCTGCTCCGGGCTGTGTTGGCTCAGGGGATAAGCCTGGTTTGGATTTAACCCCTCATCTCCCTGTGTGCTGAAAACCAGCGTGCAGGGAGGGGCAAAGGCAGCCCCAGCGAGCCCCGGGTGCCGTCCAGGACAGAACGGCCCCTTTGGCTTTGGGAACATCAGCCTGGAGCCCCCCACAGGGGTCACCCCCTCGTTTGGTGAAGCAGGGGGAGATCCCACTCTTTCCCATGCTCCACCTTAACCACAGCTCCCCATTTTGTGCAAATTCCCTTCCCTCCCATCCGGCTTTCCTGGTGAAGGATAAATCTCTGCAGCTTTAACGCAGAGGTGTTATTCACCCCCAGAGAACAAGGGAACACTTCCACACACCCCAGAGTGCCCGGGGGAGGGCTGGAGAGGCTCTCACCCACCCCAGGTGGGCCTGAGCAGGGAGCCAGGGGCTCCTCACCTTCGTTCCTCTGGTTGTTGAGCTGGTTGAACTGCTCCGTGAACTCCGTCAGAGACTCCTCGATGGTCTCCGTGCGCGGCACCGAGAGCGAAAACCTCCTCTTGAAGTTTTTCATCTTGTTCATCTTGCCTCGTGCTGCCAGGGACGGCAGAGCCCTGCGGGGAAGGGGACAGCAGGCTCAGAGGGCTGGACAACACCGCGATGGGACCCCAGCCCCACAGCTCCTGGTTTTGGGGGTTGGCAGCATCCTGACCCCAACTTTCACCCCACAGCTGCTGTTCTTTGGGGTGGCAGTATCCCGACCCAAACTTTCACCCCACAGCTGCTGCTCTGTGGGGTTGGCAATGTCCTGACATGAATTTTTCCCCCAGGGCTCCCTGGGGACATCCCTTCTCTGGGTCAGAGCAGAAGAGGAGCCACAGAAATTGGGTTCCTCGTGGTTTTAAGAGCTGGCTTTGGTCAGGAGGTGCAGGAAGGGTGGGGGTTTTTTTGAGCCCAGAGCAGGGCTGTGCACACTCAATCACAGGCTGTGCTGTATGGCATCCTTGGAAACTCCAGGAATGCCTGGACAGGGGAGAAAGCACGGTGAAAACAGAAGGAACGCAAGAAAAAGACAAAACAGCGATGGAAAAGACTCAGTCTCGCGTTTCTCACTGGAAAAGGAGACTCCTCTACTCTCACTGGCCTCGGCTTTGCCCTTGCAACAAAGACTTCCTGAGCCAGCAGCGAAGTGCTGAGTGGGGGCAGCACGGGCAGGGGGGATCCCCGAGTCCCAGCCCCGGGAGATGCTCCGAGATCCCAGCTCCATCCCAGCTCCACCCCAGCTCGGTCCCAGCTCCATCCCAGCTCGGTCCCAGCTCCATCCCAGCTCGGTCCCAGCTCGGTCCCAGCTCCCGGTGCCTCTTCCTGCTGGGCGTCAGAATCGCCTTAACCGCAGATCAGATTAAGGCAATAAAACCCTTAAAGGAAGAAAACCCTCGGGGCTGGGGCTGGGGCTGAGCAGCCGCGGGGCCAGCGGGGAGCTCGGCTCGCCCTGGAGGCGGCTTTGCCTTTCCTGCTTTGGCTCTTGCCAGGCTCAGCGGGGCCGGGATCAGGCTGGAAGTGCTGCCTGTGCCTGGGCTGGGTTTGGGCTCCAGCCTCGCTGCAATTCCTCCTGCCCAGCACGGATCCAGCACGGATCCAGCACTCCCTGGATTTACAGACACAAAATCCCAGAATCCCAGACCGGTTTGGGTTGGAGGGACCTTGGGATTCATCTCATGCCACCCCTGGGCAGGGGCACCTTCCACTGTCCCAGGCTGCTGCAGACCCCGTCCAGCCTGGCCTTGGACACTGCCAGGGATGGGACATCAGTGTCCCACCCCCAGCCAGCCACAGCTCTGCCCCTCCAGCCTCAGGAGGTTTGGGTCTGTCCCTCTCCTCTTCCCAATCCCAGCAGTGTGGGGATGCTCCTCCTTCATCCCTCATCCTCTGGACACTCCAACCTCCCTGCCAGAGGATTTTCCATGAACAGCTCTGGATTTTAAGGCTGCTGTCAGCCCCCAGCCCAATCTGAAGAGCAAAATCAGACCCCAAAACTTCTCAGGGATGATCTTTCCCCCACAGGGAACGGCTCTTTCTGGCCCATCCTGTGCCTTCTCCCAGACCCCTGGAGCAGCTCAGCCCCTTCCTCCTGAGTGTCCCCACTCCAGCTCTTCCCTGGCTGTCCCCAGAGCCCCCCAGCCCCCTCCCAGGTTTATGAGCACCACCCTGGACTCTAACACTGCTCTCAGCCCCCAACCCAATCTGCAGATCTCAATCACCCCTTAGTACAATCAGACCCCAAAACTTCTCAGAGATGATTTTTTCCCCCACAGGGAGTAACTCTTGCCTGCACATCCCAGACCCCTGGAGCAGCTCGGCCCCTTCCCACTGGCTGTCCCCAGAGCCCCACATCCCCCTCCCAACCTTATCAGCACACTGCTCTCACTCCCCAACCCAATCTGAAGAGCACGATCACCCCTTGGTACCAAACAGACCCCAAAACTTTTCAAGGATGTTTTTCTCCCCACAGGGAGCGGCTCTTTCCCGCATACCCCGGATCCCCAGAGCGGCTCAGCCCCTTCCTCCTGGCTGTCCCCACTCCAGCTCTTCCCTGGCTGTCCCCAGAGCCCCCCCAGCCCCCTCCCAGGTTTATCAGCCCGGCCCAAGGCGATCGCAGCGTTCCAGACTGATCCCACACCGCATCCCCGTCGCCAGGACAACGGCAACACCAGGCCCGGCGTGCCTGCATCTGAAAGCTCAGAAGATTATCCGCCAGCAATACAAACACTCCGCTTGGGCGCCTGCCAGGCTCTGCGGTGAGGCACGGCACCCTGCAGTGGGTGAATCCCCTGAAAACCCCGGGAATTCACCTGAATCCCGGCAATTCGCACGCAGCGGCCGCCCCCGCGCAGCTCGCGCCTTCCACGCCGCCAATTCCCGAGGCCGAAGGCTCGGCCTCGCCTGGACTCGGGGCTGGGGGGGTTTGCCGGGGGTGGGAAGGGAGGCAGGAGGGTTTGAGGCAGCTCCACTCCAGCCTCAGACATTGGAATGTTTTCCCAGCGCTGCAGGAACGTGCTCGGGCACAGCGAAGAGGTGGCACCGGGGATGCTCTGGGTTCCAGAGGATATTTAGGAGATCCAGAAGTGAATCCAGCTCCTGGTCCTGCACTGGGGACAAAGCCCCAGCCTGGCAGGGACTGGAATGGGATGAGCAGGACATCAAGCAGGATTCTGGGATCTTGGGAAGGTGTTTGGCTGAGCAATCTGGCAAAACTTTGATCATCCCCCACCGAGCCGATCCATAACCTCCTTAGATCCTTTGGTCAGGATCAAATGTGGGTCAGGAAAGATGCAGGGAACAGGAAAGACACTCGGGTGAATGAGGAAAATGAGGAGAAGTGGTGTCTCCATCTCCCTTCCCCTCCCTAAAAAGCTGTGTATGGAATCAGGGAATCAGCTTCTCACTGACACAAAACTGCTCCACAAATGCAGATCCTTCCCCCCTTTGCTTCCTGCAGGAATGCCAGCAGCTCCAGGCTGCTAAATATAAACCTGGGAGAGGAGAGGAACTGAGAGAGGGGTAAAAATAGCCCCGGGCTCGCTGCAGCCTCTCCTGCCACGCCCGAGCTGCTCCCTGCTCCTGGTCTCGCCTCCCCGGGCTCATTTTTCCAGCTACACCTGGACCTGAATGGGATCTGCTGCTGGGAGTTCACATTAAAGCTGGGATTTATGGGATTGTGCTTGTCCTCAGCCCTTGGTTCCTCCCCAGCAGGAACTCCCCCTGTCCCATTCGGATACAGGACCCCAAAGCTGGGATTTACGGGATTGTGAGCTGGGATTTATGGGATTTATGGGATTGTGCTTGTCCTCAGCCCTCAGCTCCTCACCAAGAGGAATTCTCACCAAGAGGAATTCTCCTTCCCCAACAGGAATTCTCACCAAGAGGAATTCTCCTTCCCCAACAGGAATTTGTCCTGTCCCATATGGATACAGGATCCCAAAGCTGGGATTTATGGGACTGTGAGCTGAGATTTATGGGACTGTTCGTGTCCTCAGCCCTCGGCTCCTTCCCTGACAGGAATTCACCCTGTCCCATGTGGACACAGGATCCCAAAGCTGGGATTTATGGGATTGTGATTGGGGATTTATGGGATTGTCCTTGTCCTCTGCCCTCAGCTCCTTCCCCGACAGGAACTCACCCTGTCCCATAGGGATACAGGATCCCAAAGCTGGGATTTGCTGCAATTTGTTTACCCACAACCTTGCTGCCAGGGGGAATGTGGGGTCAGGCTGGGGCAGGAAATGTGGGGTCCCAGGGGGAATTTAGGGTCTGGCCGGGCAATGTGGGGTGCCCCTCAGCTCCCCGGGGTTCCCGGAGCTTCACCCACCCTCCAGCCGCATTCCTTGTGGGAGAAAGAAATCCCATTTTACAGCTGCTGTCCCCGGCACGGGTTTCCAAGGAAGAACTCCTAGCGACCGCCTTTTGTTGTGTTTAATTTTGTTTAATTTTGTTGGGTTTTGTGTTTAATTTTGTTTAATTTTGTTGGTTTTTTTTTTCCCCCCCGACAGTGTCCTAAAGGAAGCGGTGGCGTTTATTGACTTTCGGAGGGAAAGTGCCACTTGTTAAGCAAAGCGATGACATCACTTTTGGTTTTACAGCCTGGCAGGAACAATTAGAGCAATCCCTGGATGCTGCCAGGGATGCAGAGCTGGATAATTAACAGCAGGCAGGAACATGACGTTGCACGGCGGGACACGAAGGGAAGGAGCAATTTCGCACGGCAATGAGGAATTTAGGCATCAACGGGCAAAAAAATGAAATCACCCGGCTTGGAACCCGGCCAAAAGCCAGGATTAAAGCCAGCAGGGCGAGTGATCTGCATTTACTGGAAGTGGGGTGGAGATAAATACCCGGCTGAAACACTTCAAAGAGCCCCAAAGGTGAATCCCAGCGGGAAAGATCCTCACGGGAGCCAGACAAGGAATTAACGATCCTTTAAACGCTGCCCTCAAGGCTGTGTCCGGAAATCACCTTTACAGCTCCTCGGTGAACTGTTCCCCCCGGGAATGGATCTCTCCTGCCTTTCTACAGCTTCCCTGCTCTGGAATTCCTGAGCCAGGTATTTTAGGCATCACCAGAGTGTGGAACTGTCCCCTCCCTCCTCCAGCAGGCTTTGGAAGCAAAGCTTTCCAGCACTAATTATTGCCGCTCAAAAATGATCAATTCTCTGTATTTTTCCTTACCCTTTTACCAGATTCCTGCCCCCATTTCCCAGCCGAAAGAGAGGAAAAGTTTGCTTCTTCTAAACCGTTTTTGTTTGTTTATTTATTTATTTTTTAATCCCCGGGGAGATTACCAGTTGTGTTTACAAGGCAAACTGAAAAGGCCCATTCAGCTCTCGGTGCTCCTGGCTGTGAGGTGGCATCGATTCACTCCTGCAAGGCCCGGAGAAATGGGGAATTCTGCTCCTCGCAGAGCTTTTATTTGCTCAGCAAACACGGCAATCCTGCAATGCTGTGTGTGGCTCCAGGGCCCAACCAACCTCGCTGGAATTCACAAAATCTCCAGGTTGAAGAGACCTTCAAGATCATGGAGTGGAGTCCAGCCCAGCCCCAACACCCCAACTGAACCC